ATGAGGCCTATAAGCTACTGTACAATATGAGAGCTTGATATTATCTCACTCACATCATGACTCCTTTGCTCTGTAGGACAGCTGTAACTGAAACACCTTAGGGTGACCTCAAGACAATGGTTCCTTCACAAGACAAGGTGCAGCATCAAAAATAAATCCTCTGAGAGCAAACATGCACCACAGATTCACTGATTCACAATATATAGTCTTGCAAGTTAACTACAGCGCTGATGTGACGTGCAACATGCGATGCACTACTGGAGCATTACAGCATGAGCAAGGCAGGAGAGCTGAACCAAACAACAGACCCAGAACATGCTCATAAATGCATCAAACAAACAACAAGATGATCAAAGAGCCTATCACAGCGGAGTGACACAAACTCCTTTGAAACAGTAATTCAAAGCGCTTTCATATGAACAACTGTTTCCATGACCTGCTGTGGAAAAACAACAGAATAAGTGAGCAGTCTGCAAAAACAGCAACACTTGTCAGTGGATGCACTACATTCACTACTTTCACAACCAACACTTTTTGGCACAGCAATCGGCTCAAGAGCTGATTACTATCTCGGAGTCGGTCGCCCTTTTTGTTAATCTCATGCATGCACATGGAGTCGCTCAGGCAAACATGCATTATACTTTAAATTACTGCAAGATGATTTAAGACTGTTCTACTGATCTACAGCTGGTGTTAATATGATGTGATATGCAGCAAAGAACCGGAAAAAGAAACCAGAAAATATTAAGCCACTTAATTAAAAGAGACATAAACAATCCCAGATGTATAATGATAATCAGCGCTTAGTATGATGTTTAAGATACATGAGCTGGATACACGCTCTGCTTTTGGTGCATAAGCCTAAATCTAAACAAATGTTTGTTGAAAAACTTCACAGGTCCTGTTTCCTAATTCTTCAGATAGCTCTGCGGGACAGGCGGGCCGGCGGGCAGGCGGCGGTGAAGGCCAGGTCTCTTGGCAAGATTGTACGTATGAACAGCGGTACGAGCCTGGGAGTAGGCCGCCGTGTTTATCCTGTCAAGGTATGTTAACACCAGGCTGCATTCCTGTAGTCCCTAAATTGCAGTGTTAGATTACAGCCCAGCTGAGACACACACACACACACACACACATGGAGTACTTTAAAGCAGGAGGAGGAAAAGGCCCTGGATGACGAAGCTGTGACCAAAGTGGCAGCAGCAGGGCAGGGCCGGGCCGACACCTGACATTTACAGGAGAGCTGCAGAAGATTAAACATGAGGTGGAGCTACAAAAACTAGCTCATTCGCTAGATGTCTGTATATTCTTACACCTGAAAATAAAGGAAAAACAACATCTCCTATGCTGCCACAACTCACTGTGATGTACAGTAACGAGTGTCAAGGGTTTAAATTAAGAGAGCACGTTTACCGTAAGTGGAAAGTGATGGTTGTTAAGGGTCTCTGCAGGCCTATAGCTACATGACAGTCATCATTTACTGGGGCTTTTATACCAGCATGTTTACAGCTGCTGCATGCTGGGATATCATCAATATAAGAAGAGGAGCACGGCCAATTGCATTTGATCTATCAATACTAGCAGACAGGTTAGGTGCAGTTTATAGTCGGGGACAAAAGTGACATTTTAACCTCAGACAAACCTGAAACGAGTCTCACCTCTCTAAGGCAAAGAATGACATCATGAATACAGGATATAACTGCAAAAAAAAAAGGTTGAATTTGTATGAAGGGATGGATGACTAATGATTGAGTTAACCGCTCTGACTTAATCTCACTAAAGCATTAAAATGCAATATGAAACTCAAATTCTAAAATTGGGTTTGCAGCTGAGTGTGTGTGTGTGTGTGTGTGTGTGTGTGTGTACCACATATCAGTTTAAGGTGCTAATTCGTTATTAACAATGCACACAACAGATGACCGTCTTTTATTACACGGTTCTTCTTCTATTTTGATTTAATATGCAGAAAACTTTTTAAAATATGCCTAATATTTTGACTCTCTGTCTGTAATCCACAAAATATTAGACATATAGAGCTGGAGTTTAATCCATGACTCATTTAATTCAGGAGAAATGATTTGCTTTATGATAATCAAGAAGTCCTTTCAAGTTATTTTCAACGCAAAACATGCAAAAATAATATTTGTAATTTCAGATTTTCTGTCTGATGTGTGGCAGAAAGTTAGTCCACCTTTGGATCAGCATATATGTGCATTTCTCTGATGTTTCTATTAAAGCAATGCATGTGAGAATATGATTATTTTGCAGCCTCCATTGTCGTGAATGGGACCTGCAGCTGTTTGAACGTCATGAAGATGACGGGGCTTTGAGGTCATGGTATGTTAGCACAGGCTAATGTTTGAGCTCCTTTTGAAATTCAAAGCACAGAGATGTGTGCGTGGTGTGAAAACTAACAAACAAAACACAAAAACAAAAAAACAACAAAAAAAAGGAGGCAGGTAGAAAATGAAAAGGAGAAAGAGAAAGAGAGGCAGGTGATGCAAAAGCGGTGCGCACTGAATCACGGCACCTTTTTGCCATCTTCATTGTGCGTCCCGTTACGCGAACAATGACGCGCTCACTCCACACTATTAATCTCATTTCATCCTAATGTGTGTGGAAAAATTCAGCGGAACAAGACACTGAGGTACACTCAGGTTAAGAATGACAACCTTACGCTGCAAAGACGTGACGCTTATATCGGTGAAATTACACCTTTATAGGTGTTGCATCACCTTTGTGTATACCTGGCTGTCTCCGGGTCCAGAAAAAAAAAAAAAAAAAAAAAAAAAGAGGCAGCAACCCCGCCTTCACTGCAGTAATGGTACTGACCGCCATTCCCTTCCGCACACACCGCTCAGGAAATTGTATAACGAAAAATCACCGCAACACAATAGATGGAAACGTGTGGTTTAAAAGGGGAGCCTATAAGCACTGTTATTGTCCACGGGTGGGAATAGCAGAGTAATGACCACCTTATGCACCGCTCGTTTTCCGTGCAGACACACACACACACACACAGCTGCAGAGTACACTCGATCAAACAGCCAGTCAGCACACACACACACACACACACACACACACACACACACGCGCGCGCGTAAAAATACATAAAAGCGGAGATAAAACATGCACAAGTGGGTCAGAAAATGCGTGTCGATGAGATAAATCCCGCGAGAATGAAGGCAAGGCGAGCATCCATGCGAAGCTGGCATGGCACACACACACGGTGAAACTACAAAAAAAAAAAAAAAAAAAAAAAAGAATCATCTCTACCTGCACAAGTTGACATTTGGAGCGTTTTTTTCTGGCTCCTCATGAGACACCGAGGCTTTACGAAAAGAAGAACAGATCCTGTTCCGGTATCAGACGAGAGCCGCAGGTGTTATTTCTGTTTATTTCTAGGCCATTTGCAAGCCCCCCGTTATCCGCGTTCAGGTAAACATGATGATGATGATGATGGTGATGATGATGATGGTGGCTCCTGTACGGACGCGCAGAGTCACACCGTCGTGTCGTCAGCAGCAGTAGGAAGGATGTAAAAAAAAAAAAAAAAGGTGATTTCCAGCCCTTCGGCTCACACACATCGTGCCTCATAACGGTGTCTAAAAATATATTTACATTTATGGGTTTACTTTTCTTATTGGCTGACACGATGTGAGAGTGGGAGAGTACAGGTGAGAAACCGGCCAATCAGGATCCACGTTGAAACTATTGCATCAATACGTCCAAAAAAAAAATGTGGTTTTAAATCGTTTGCTTCAAAACAGGTGGAGTAGGGAGGAGAAAAGTTTACAAAATAAAAGTGTAGAAAATGTGAAAAAGAACCATAAAACTTCTTATTATAATTGTTTATAATTCCTATAGCCTCAAAATACTGCCTTTAGGTCATATAAAACTGTTATTATATGCTATTACGTAAGATAAACCACACATATCAGCACTTAAAATAAAAATACAAGTGTCTCAAAACCTTTGCACAAAATACTAAAAATGCAGCTGAAACAACTTTTATATTTTCAGCACTGATCACGGTTTCCAGCCCGAATTGTCAGGTGCAAAAAGTAAAGGTCGACACAGTTTAGTTGGAGCAATTTGTTGAACAGACAACATAAATATTAACGCCAAATAGGAAAAATGTCAAATTACTCAATGCAATCTGGTGCGAGCAACAAGGAAACGCATGCACGAGTGCAAAGAAAACGAGTCAAATCTCTTTAAAAAAAGGATTGGAAATACGATATGCTCTCTCTTACCTTAACTATAAGGAAACATGTGGTGTTGCAGTTGCAGCAGGGAGGGAGGGAGGGAGGGAGGGGGGCTTAAACTGGAGATAAAATAAACATCCGACCTCTTTGCACATCACACTGACTGGAGCAGCAAGCAGTGAGTGCAAACCAAAGCCCATGCAAAAAAAAATAAAAAATCCTAAAAGATTCAAAATTCACCATCCGGTCACAAGTCTAACACAAATAAAAGTTGAATTATTTCGACCCTGGAGAGACAAACAGCACCGAGTGAGCAGAAACCTCGCCCTTAAAAAAAAAAAAAAAATCATACACTTTAACTGCAAAACTGCAAAACTGCGTCCTCACGGGCCACGTTGTTGTGTGAAAAAGCCCCGCAACCTGCCGCCAAGTGTTGCTGAGGGTTGGGAAAGTGACGAAAACAAGGCTTAGGAAAAGTGGAGAAAACTTTAAAAAAAAAAAAAAAGCAACAATGAAGCGCTCCTCGGGGTTATTCTAGCTGATAACGGTTCAGTCAGCCGGGCGGGCCGCCCTGCACCGCTAGGCGGACAGAGAGAAGCCAACCAGGTATAACGGTACACCACCACCACCACCACACTGGGACATGAACACATCAATACTCCTTTAAAAACTCCGTGAAACGAGCCCCAACTAACTCCCACAAGTCTTCTGGAGAAAGTTTAACCGAGTGGGAAAGCTCCCCGGCAGCCCGCCCCGGGTCGCCTTCCGAGCGGCTGCGGAAGAGTTCGGACTTACCGCTGCTCCTCTTCGGGTTCGCCTGTTTTCTGCGCTTACACCTGGGGCCATCCGCCATGATCCTCTCGCTGAGTCTGAAGCGCAGCCGCTCGCTAGTCACCTCCCTCCACCTCCTCCTCCTCCTCCTGTCTCACCCCTCCCTTCCCCTCCCTGTCCGCTTTACGACATCACCTTCCCTACCCGCAAAACACCTGGTTTGCGACACACCAGGCGGCGTTTACGGCATCACCTTCTCAAACACCTCAGCACATGGCCCCTCCTACTGGCCAAACACATGAGCGTGTGTGTGTGTGTGTGTGTGTGTGTGTGTGTGTGTGTGTGTGTGAGGCGGTTTCCAAACGGTGGTCCTACCGCTGTGTCAGGGTCGTCTCTGCTCCTCCTGTTTGCAGGGAAAAGAGAAATATAAACAAAAAGGTGTTTCTGAACAACTGACGAGGAGAGAGGAAAACCAGTTTGGCTAACATGCAGATTATTACACAATCTTTAGTTTATTTTTATGAATAGATTTCCAATTTTTCTGTTTTGTTCAGGCAGATTATATAAGTTTTTTTTTCTGCTCCTTTTAATTCAAGATTTGAGATTTTAATTTTGTATTTAATTGTATTGTTTGGTGGATGAATTAAATAAATTTACAAATTAAAAAAAATATATATATACTGTATATTAAAACGTTTTGAGTAGATTTGTATTAATTAAAGTCCTACAAGTAATAATAATACTTTTTTATTATTTATAAGTATTATGGTTGTGATTATGTGTATTTTATTTTGGCCTCTAACTAAAGGTAATTTTCTGTCACTGTGTGATACATAATAAAGTGTTTTGAATGATTAAATCTTGAATCTACAAAATGTAGCCTAATTAGCTGATTAATTATGACATATCCTGTTATAATCATCTACCCAGCAGTTTTAAAGTAGGCCTTATTATAAGTGGTCCTATCTTTAACAGCTGCATCATTTAAAGATAAAGAACATATCATTACAAAATAGTTTTCTTACTTCAGGTGTGTTTTGGTGGACATATTGTACCTCGCAGAGTCGTATAGCCTACAGAAATGTTACGTCTTACAGGGTGCGGTTGAGCTGTTGGACTCATACTTTGCTTATCTGAAGACTTCAGAGGTAAAGCATCTGTAAAAAACAACTACTGTCAATCATTTACGCCAACTTGAACATGAATAAGTATCAATGTGAGTGTCGTTTCAGGAAATTTACTCATCTCTGTCTTTTCAAAGTTTCATGTGACGTCACACATTTATGAAACATCCGCCTACTGCAGAAGAAGTTACCGTTCTCACGAGAAACCTTTGTGTTTACACTTTTTTTTTTTTTTTTTAAAGAAAGCCATTTGCTGTTAATGTCTAAGCATTAATACAGTACCCATTTATTGGGCGTTTCCACTGTCAAAAGTTGGGAACAGTACCAAAATAATGGATCTGTACTGGCTGTTGGGGTGCCAAGGGTACCGATCCGACCCCAAAGGGTCCCTTTGTTTACTGTGTCCCGTTCTTCTTGAATGTTTAACCTAATTAATAGCAGGCTACACTGTGTTGGGCTGCTATGATGTCACACTATTACATAGCTGACGTAGCTATCTCCATCTGGCTGCTTGGTGGAAACGGTTTAAGAATGCAATCCAAGAGAGAAAATCAAGACAGAGGAGTTAATTGTTGATTAACTATTAGATTCTCCGCTGTCCTGTTTGGGGACAAATGCACAGACTTCTCCTTTATCCTGCTATAAAACATTGTGTTGACTTGAGCAACATATCCAGACTGCCTTTTAACAAACATCGCTGCCCAAGAACAATGACTGGAAGTGACAGCTGACAGTGACTTTTACTGTTGTTAGGTAGCGTTAACTAGCTAATGTTTACTAAGTCGCACTCACCTTTGCTTTGATAAAGAAGTGTTTCTCGTCTTTCACGTCCCAAATGGCAGCGTTACTGTAACCTGGCCACATTAAAAACACATAAAGCTGTCTGTACTTTTTTTGTAGGCTTTCATCTTGGTGGCGGTGTAAGGAGAAGTATTCTCTCCTAGATAAATGTAAACATCACCAAAGTGAAGTTCTGGCCAGAGCTCTGCTGTTGTGAGAGATTGAAATATTGTCCCGGCAGCTTCATTAGGGTCACAAGCGCCCAAAGCTTGTAGTATATCTATATATCCTACTTTGTCTGAGGTTGTTGTGTGGTGTAAATATGTGTGGTTTTGGTGGCCGCTACTTTCCTGAGCTCTTTCCTGACCTCTAGGAAGGAAGGATTAAGTTTTTTACATCACAAAGTTTGAAAAGTCATTAACTGACTGAAGTGTACAGCTTTAGAAAACCTGAGCCCACAAACACATGCACAGACACACACTGAGGCATTATTGTGTCCTTTGTGCGGTCAGAGGTTCAATGACAGTTCACAGCAGGTCAAGAGAGGAGGCCTTCAACGTCCCGCTGAAGCTATTCTCGTACCTGCCGATGATCAGGTTTCCAGTTCAGACTCACCAGGGGCTGCTGTGAGCCGCGCACAGCCGACAGGACTCCTCTGGATCTCCTGACACTGTAATGAGGTCAGGGGAGGAGGGGAGGAAAGGGGGGGGGGGGATCAAACTGCAAAAAGGCTTAACAAGGGGGACAGAAAGCGTGCGATTATGTGTATTTTGTAAAGGTGTTTCATTGTTAGAGAGCTGCACTCAGTCGCACAAGACGACATGAATGAGCTCAGATTGGAGCTGCTGCGACAACAACAAAGCATCCAGAAAATTATCTTAAGTACAAGAAGAGAAACCACAGGGTCGACTTATATGTAAATAAGTATAAACAATCAAAAGAGTCATGACTCAGAATTTCAGAATCATAATACCATTAGATAAAACCTAACAATGGAATAATGTGCATGCAACAATGTAATGATGCAGTTGGTTTAGCATGAATCTGAATCTAGCAGTGTATTATTTATCTGTTCCATCACATCATAATTTACCACTCAAACAGTGTTATTGTTCATGTTTCGCTGGAGTGACTAATTTATTACCTATTATTCATCAAATTAGATCGTGACATACTTTCATTTTCAATCTGTTTTTATAAAGATGGTGTCGTTAAAAGATGATTTACAAACTGATGATAGGACAGAACAAGGGCAGGCGATGGGGTAGTAATATAAATACCAATAAAGTCAACTTTATTAGATATTACACCAAATAAGAGATTAATAAAAAATAGTAGCTAAAGTACATTTAATAATATCTGAATCTGACAATTTTTAAAATTGAAATTGAAGGATGAAATTATTTTCTACACTGAGGAGAGGTCACTGATTCTGTGACTACTTATTTGATGGATTATTTATGATTGAAAGTTGATAGAAATGGAAATAAAAATAGAAATAGAAAAGTGAAACACTTTTGGAAACAAACAAACTTATTTGTGGGAGACGCAGAAGTCGCAGAACTCAAGTCCTGTACTACAGTGCAAACGTCAGATTATTGCACATCATATTATGATAATGAATTATTCACTACAATTAAGACTCTGAATTTAACCTGCCATTCACACGCTGTTAATAATGCAGATATGATGACTCATAAGTGTGAGTAAAGTCATTTCTTAGATCACTATTCACTCTTGAAGGACTATCATACAGGAAGAAGGTCATGACTAAAGTAAGGAGTGATTTAGAGAAAGGCCTTAGTCTCTGAATCTTCAATAAAGAAACCAAAAGAAACTCAGCTATCTTTGATTTACTTTTCAACACCTGTGTTAGATTTTTTTTTTTTAACTCGGTACATGTCAAGATGTCTTTTGTGAAAAAGTCATCTCGCCTCTGCAGTGGCAGCACACAGTTTTACGCTCCGTTTTGAAAGTGTCAAGGATTTGTTTTTAAGTTTCAGCCGTTGTACGTTGATAGCAGAGAGGGATTTGCTCCTTTTTTTATTAAGTATGAAAATGAAGAATACACACACACACACACACACACACACACACACACACACACACACACACACACACACACACACACACACACACACCACCACCACATCATCAGTAATGCTTTAATTGAATCTCCCACTGGCAGGACATAGAGGGCTGAAGAGTCCTCCTCTATCTGGGGTGTCCTGTCCTGCTACATCACAACGTCTCTACAGGCGGCTGCTGTCCTGCTGCCTGTGATGTTAGAGAGGAAATGGACGCCATTGTTCAATGCTAATGTGGTGTTGACATGAATACAGGGCTCAGAGGGCTTTGGGGGATTTATTCGTTCTTTAATTCATTTGTATATTTCTGCTGTAAAATCCTTCCCAGTGAGTTTTCAGCTAATATACTGTGAGTATTGTTCTTTAAAGGAGAGGTGAGCCCTCGGGCTAAATGCTTTTTTAAAATTCCTTTCTCTGCAGTTTCTTTTGTCATGCGCCAGGTAGGAGGTCTAGCTTCACAGTGAAGCTGTGGATCTGTCTGAGGTATACAGGAAATGTGACTTCGAAACCTGTTAGTGTAGCATGCTCGAACCATTTATGTTCACAGGATGAATTTTCCCTGCTTTGGGAAACTTAAAGATTTATTTTCATAGAGTTGGAAATTAGAGAGAGAGAGTGAAAGAGAGAGAGAGAGAGGGGGGAATGACATGCGTTGAGTGAGCCACAGGTCGGATTCGAACCTGGGCTGCCCAATTGGACTATAGCCTCTGTACATGAGCTGTGCACACTAACCACTATGCTACCGGCGCCCCCCTACTTTGGAAATTTAAAGGTCACATATTGTGAAAAATACTCTTTACCATTGATTTCTAACACTCAAATGTTTCCCTAGTCCGTCTACAAACGCCCAATATGAGAAAAGTCCCCCTCTCTGTCTTTTGCCTGCTCCACTTTTCAGAAAATGCGTGCTCAAACAGGCGGTTTCGTGATATTCCCTTCATGACATCACAAAGGGCAGTAACCCCTCCCCCAGGTGGGTGACACTCCCACAGCTAGGTGTTTGTTCTGCCCTCTGAGTCTGCCTTCTCGCCGTAAACAATAGGGCATGGAGCGAGAAAGCTCAAGCCACGCAAACCCTTCTAGAGAGGGGGCGTGGTCAGACACAGCTCATATTTAAAGGTACA